AATTATGACTTGCTTAGTTGTTTAATTGGGTGTTTTGGTGTGGCTGGACAAAGACAAAGACCTGGTTTTCCCCCCCTACTGGGCAATGTTTGGGTAATTTGTTGTTTGTTAAATTAGGCGACTGGGTCATTTTATGTAAGCAAAAAGCCGGTTTTCCCCATTAAGAGGAGTTGGCCTGGAAGGGAAAGAGAGCAGACTGGAATTTGTATTGAACTGTGAAATACAGTTAAGCAGTTGTGGATGACTCATGCTCCCTGCTTCAGTAATGACTATCAGTAGAACAAACGACACTGGGGAGAACTCCCCCACTCTTCTACGAAATAGTGCCACGGGACATTTTGCACCCACCCAACTAGGTCAATGGGGGCCTCGGTTTATTGTCTCAGCCGGAAGCCTGCACCTCTGACAGTTTATCATTTACCCAGAGCTTCTTTGAATTATCATCTTTGCTTTTTTTGTGGTGGGCTAGACAGTGGCGTCTTCAAACTATCCCCCACTGCCTTGCCTGTGACACGCCCACAACCTGTACTACATGAGAAAATGCACTGAATCCTGCAAGGAGTAGCCTCTGACCAGTGGCTTCCAGCAACATAAGTCACCAATGTCCAGGCTGTGATATTTTTCCTGGTTCGCCTGTCAGTCCTTAATGAGCTGATTGGCAGCTGATGGGATGAGTTATCTCACTGGTAGGGCAGCGTGTCAGGCTCAGCACAGAAAAGATACAGGAAAGTTCTGCCCAATGGCTGCCACCAAGAAAGGTTCAATATGACAATGCAAGTTCAAACAATGAGCTTGAATTAAAATTGGGACTTAGCACAGAGCTGTAATACTGCGGAAGATAATGTAGATTTAGACTCCCTCGCCAACCTAGTTTTATTCTGAAATAACTGCAGAGGCTGGTATCCCATCACCAGTTCACCCTTTACAAATATGTGCACAGTACATCGGCTGTGGCCAACCAGCTTAGTCAGTCCCTGAAGTCAGGAGATTCTGAAGCCCCTACTTATGTCTCCCAGCCAGGGTTCCTGATTAGCAAAGGTTAACAACCTCAATTAAAGATCTCAGTCAATAAGGTCCATCTGGTTCCAATCATTCCATCTTCCCTGGGTGGGTGTGGGCTTGATGTGATAAGTTTTCCACAGGGGAATCTAAAATGTTCTCTCCCTCCATGTCGTCATTGTCTTCAGGAATAGTGCCAGAAGACTGGAGACTAGCAAATGTTGTCCCCTTGTTCAAGAAGGGGAGTAGAGACAACCCTGGTAATTATAGACCAGTGAGCCTTACTTCGGTTGTGGGTAAAGTGTTGGAAAGGATTATAAGAGATAGGATTTATAATCATCTAGAAAGGAATAATTTGATTAGGGATAGTCAACACAGTTTTGTGAAGGGTAGGTCGTGCCTCACAAACCTTATTGAGTTCTTCGAGAAGGTGACCAAACAGGTGGATGAGGGTAAAGCAGTTGATGTGGTGTATATGGATTTCAGTAAAGCGTTTGATAAGGTTCCCCATGGTAGGCTATTGCAGAAAATATGGAGGCATGGCATTGAGGGTGATTTAGCGGTTTGGATCAGAAATTGGCTAGCTGTAAGAAGACAGGGTGGTGGTTGATGGGAAATGTTCATCCTGGAGTTCAGTTACTGGTGGTGTACCTCAAGGATCTGTTTTGGGGCCACTGCTGTTTGTCATTTTTATAAATGACCTGGATGAGGGCGTAGAAGGATGGGTTAATAAATTTGCAGATGACACCAAAGTTGGTGGAGTTGTGGATAGTGCGGAAGGATGTTGCAGGTTACAGAGGGACATAGATAAGCTGCAGAGCTGGGCTGAGAGGTGGCAAATGGAGTTTAATGCGGAAAAGTGTGAGGTGATTCACTTTGGAAGGAGTAACAGGGTACTGGGCTAATGGTAAGATTCTTAGTAGTGTGGATGAGCAGAAAGATCTCGGTGTCCATGTGCACAGATCACTGAAAGTTGCCACCCAGGTTGATAGCCTTGTTAAGAAGGCGTATAGTATGTTAGGTTTTATTGGTAGAGGGATTGAGTTTCGGAGCCATGAGGTCATGTTGCAGCTGTACAAAACTCTGGTGCGGCCGCACTTGGAGTATTGCGTGCAGTTCTGGTCACCGCATTATAGGAAGGATGTGGAAGCATTGGAAAGGGTGCAGAGGAGATTTACCAGGATGTTGCCTGGTATGGAGGGAAGGTCTTATGAGGAAAGGCTGAGGGTCTTGAGGTTGTTTTCATTAGAGAGAAGAAGGTTAAGAGGTGACTTGATAGAGACATACAAGATGATCAGAGGATTAGATAGGGTGGACAGTGGGAGCCTTTTTCCTCGGATGGTGATGGCTAGCATGAGGGGACATAGCTTTAAATTGAGGTGATAGATATAGGACAGATGTCAGAAGTAGGTTCTTTACTCAGAGAGTAGTAAGGGCGTGGAATGCCCTGCCTGCAAAAATAGTAGACTCGCCAACTTTAAGGGCATTTAAATGGTGATTGGATAAACATATGGATGATAATGGAATAGTTTAGGTTAGATGGGCTTCAGATTGGTTTCACAGGTCGGCGTAACATCGAGGGCCGAAGGGCCTGTACTGCGCTGTAATGTTCTATGTTCTATGTTCTATGTTCCATGATGTGGATGTGCTGGTGTTGGACTAGGATGGACAATGTCAAAAATCACATGACATCAGGTTATAGTCCAACAGGTTTATTTGAAGACACAAGCTTTCGGAGTCTCACTCCTCCTTCAGTTGTCAGTGAGAGAGGTGGCATCAGACACAGAAGTTATAAACAAAAGACCAAAGTGTCATCGAACTGATATGTTCTAAGATAGCCATTAAATCTTTAATCAGTTAGAAAGGATTAATCTGCAAATACCTGAATTTCTTTCACTTCACTGCCCCAAGATATCTAAAGGTTTTATCAATTCCCACTAATCCCAGAGGTGACATCCCAGGTCAGATAATGCATTTTAGGTATGAGGCCTTGTTTAAAATCTGGCTGCGTATCAACTTGGAGCCAAAGTAGGAATTTATAAAATGCCACGTTGACTGTCTACAAATTGTGTACCTTTTGAACAAAATAGAATGTATCTGCAATTACAAATCTGCAAATGCAAATTCACCTCATAGACATTACAGATATCTATACATAGGTGTGTGTGTGTGTGTGTGTCTGTCTGGGGAGAAAGAGAGTCTGTGTGCGCAACAGGATCTCAGTAGCAGCAGTGTACACTGTACACACGATATACCGCAACAACTCGCTGAGGCTCCTTTGATTTCACATTCCAAACCTGTGAGCCCTGCTATCTGAAAGAATGAACATAATAGACAAGGGAGCACCACCATCTGCAAGTTACCCTCCAAGTCACCCACCAATCTGACTTGGAGCTATAACACCAATGCTTCATTGAAGCAGAGTCAAAAAAGAGGAACTTGGAGGAAACCAGGAGCTGTCAGAAACAAATTAATATGGGAGAAAAAGGGATGGGAAGCTGTTTGGGTATAAGGATCAAAACCATTTCAGAAGGTTATATATAATGTTATGTTCAAATGTAAACTGGGCGTAAAATGTGTAAATTAGATTAATGTCTCTGAGTCCGTCTCTTCCTGATTACGTTAAAATCAAATGAATGCCCATATTGTGTCTTGGCTTATTTAATACACACACAAACTGCCGTGGATGGGTTAGTAGCCTCAGTAATTGAATTGCTGTCACTGTTGTAGTGTGGAACATGTTGTCGCTAACTTGTGCCATGCATTACCCCACAAATAGCAATGAAATAATATGACCCACTTAATCAGCTTGTGACTTGAGGTTGTGAAATAAATATTGGCCATGATAAAGCTCCCTCTGTTTTTATACAGATTTTAAGCATCTGCAGTATTTCACTTTTATTCTTAATGGGAACATTCCACTGGGGTCTTTTGCATTTTGGGGTTGGTTAGCTCGGTTGGCTGAATGGCCCGTTTGTAATGCAGACTGATGCCAACAGCACAAGTTCAGTTCTCACATCAGTTGAGGTTAATGCCAAGAATGCTCCATCTGAAGCTGTCCCCTCACCAGAGGCATGGTGACCCCTAAGTTAAACCATGACAGGGCAGCCATATAGTCCTCTGGGAGAAAGACTATGGTGATTTTACTTCAACTGAAAGAGCAGAAAGGGCCTCAGTTAAATAAGTCTCAACTGAAAAATGACATCTCCACAGTGTAGCACATCTTCAATGCTTCACTGAAGTGTTGACCGGGGTTATGTGCTTGGCAGCAACTTGAACCTATGACTTTTTGATTCTGAGGCATGAGTGTTACCAACCGAGCAATGTCTGATTATAAGTGGCTCATAGTGTGAAAAGCTCTTTGAGATTTTCGCTGTTCAAATGGTTTATTGATTTTTCCAAAATCACTTTTGTGACACATCCAGCTCAAAAGTATCTCAGATCTTTTTGTAAGTACCCTTGCCTCAGGCATAACTAATGCAGATATGTATGCTTTGGTTTGTGACACTCATGAGTCTCAATTTTAGCAGACGTTATGACCCTAAATCCTTGATTCTCAACCTGCAGCATTACTCGTATAGAACTTCACTCAGTTTCCCCTCTGACTTGGAATCAGTGGTTCCGTTATTAATTCTAAATGACCAGCATGTAAATGGATTTAATCTTTGAGCTAATTTTTCGGTCTCTCCTAATTTGTTCGGCATTTCGAGCATTTTTTCCTCCCACTTTTTTTCAAAACGGAAATTGTTAGAAGTTATGTTATTAATCTCTGTTTTCTGCTGAAGCCCTTCCTTTGTTGAGTCAAATTTCCATAGAAACCCCTTAGTTTCTTATCCAAAAAAATCATTCAATATATAAATGCTATTTAATTAATGTAGAGCTGGCAGTCAACATTGGGATTGAACAAAAAGTTGCTCGCTATGTTGTTGTAAGCACAAATTGATAGTGTGTGAGAGAGAGAAAAGAAATTCATAGTGTTTTCTCTCCCTTCTCTGACTTAGGTGAAAGCCAGCTCCTGAGGTTTGTTTCCAATAAAACGGGGACGGATAAAATTATGTTGAAATGGGAGCCATACTGGCCACCGGACTTCAGAGATCTCTTGGGTTTCATGGTATTCTTCAAGGAAGCGTGAGTATGTTATAGGGCTGTCTGTTTATTGAAGATATCCTGCTCTGGGTTAGCAGTAAATCCAGTACACTACCAATATGTCGTGTTCTTTTCTTTGCATCATATCTTTGTGGGTGTGTGAGAGATTCTGCAACAGAACGGAGTCATTACCTTGTGAGGAGCATGTCGCAAGTAACCGCAGCTCACTCATAAGTTCTGATGATGTGGAGGTGCCGTTGTTGGATTGGGGTGGACAGAGTCTGATGTCACATGACACAAGGTTTATTTGAAATCACAACTTTTCAGAGTGCTGCTCCTTCTAAGAGCAGCGCTCCGAAATAATAAATCTGTTGGACTATACCCTAGTGTCTTGTATCTTCTGACTTTAAGTTCTGATGGTGTATGCTGTGCTTTAAACTAAAATATCACTCAACTTTTACCATGCCAACTTGCAGTGAAAAAGGCAAATTTAGATCTTAATAGTGTTAGTGGTAGGCGGTATGGGAGCATTATCAACACCAAGTTACTCCCAAACATTAACACAACAAAAAAAACTTAAATATTTAATTAAGTTTTCTTTTTTAAGTAAAGCAGGACATATGTCTGAAGTTTTCACGTGATCACCTATCTCAAATGGGCATTGTTGGGATATTGGTTAGCATCAGATACTGAACTGCATTCGTTACATAAATGTACTGGCTACAAAAGCATGATAAGAGACTGGAAATTCTAAGCCAGCTGGCTCACCTCCTCACATTCAAAGCTCTTTCTGTAAGGCACAGCAATAATGTAATGGAATGCTGTCCACTTACTTAGACATATGCAGCCCCACATCACTGAAGCTTGACGCAACCCTGGACAAAGCAGCCCGTTTGGTATGCAGTCCATCCACCACTCCTGTTAGGTCATCTATCCTTCCACATGGTCACAGATGTAGATGTTTTTAATCAACCCATTCGGCTGTGTACAGGAAGGGGCTCTTGTGATGCAGTGATAGTGAACTATATTGCTGTTCCTTTATTGTTGCTGGGTCAAAATCCTGGAGTTCCCATCTTAACAGTATTTTGGGTGTATTTCTGCCAAAAAGACTGTCACAGTTCAAGAAGTGGCTCACCAGCATCTGCTTGAGGCCAACAAAAAGTTGGGCAATAAATGTTGGCCTTGCTTGTGGCATCCTTATTCCTAGAATTTGCCTTTTTATAAAACGGGGTGATTTTTGAGTTATTGTGTGAAGTGTGGGGAATGCAGAGAATCACCTGTTACCAGTTGGGTGATGGGTCTGTCTTTATTTTTGTGTTCCCTGGAACAGCCCTTATCAGAACGTGACAGAGTTTGATGGACAGGATGCCTGTGGGTCAAATAGCTGGAAGGTTGTTGATGTAGAACCCCCTGGACGGTCAGAAGGGAAGCTCCAGAACCCGGGCACTCTGCTTCGTGGCCTCAAACCCTGGACGCAGTACGCAATCTTTGTGAAGACCTTGCTCACGATAAGTGACGAGCAGCACGATCATGGAGCTAAAAGTGAGATTGTCTACATCCGCACCACAGCAGGCAGTAAGTTTTTAAAACTATGTCTAATTAATTTATGCACCTTTTGCTGATAGTCTCCTGCACGAAAGTGTCATTAACGCCCATCATTACACGCATGTTTCATGTGATATTTCACCAGTGATGGTACTGCAACACCATGTTGTATTGACTTTTGGCTTCTTTGCTAGCCTTACAGAATATGGCCCACGTTCAATCAACTTTGCTTTCCAAATTGCTGTATGTTTTTCTATGAAATATATATGATGAAACTAAATAGCTAGAAGGTATGACTCTGAAATGCTGACATAATATTTTTGCATGCCTAACGCTGCTCAGCCTTTTCATCCCTGTTCACATGAATGCTAAACCTCAACTTGACTTTCTGTGCAACATCAGTAAAAGATTGAAGTGTACTCAGTTTAGAAAGTGGGTTATTTGAGCACCTTATTTTTTTTTGTGCTCTCAATTTGCAAATATGATTGCCATTATTCTGTACAGTGTTGCTTCAGGTTATCAGAGGATAAAATGATGCTGAGGCAGAGTCCAGTCATTTACTTTTCTAGTCAGAATTATATTGCTAATCCAGAAACCACAAACTCCAACACACTAATTAACTTGTTCCCATGATATATTCACCCAGTTATCCCTTAATTAGCGCACAACTTTCACGTGTTGTTTAGTTCTCTTTGGTCTCCGAATCTCCGTCAGATAATTAAATAATTGAGCTCTCCCAAGCCAGTGACTGCTTCACTTATCTTGTGTTGGATGTGTTAGTGTGAATTTACTTCAAAAATCCCTCCACTGTGTCCAAACAATGTGCCTCTCTTTGTTCATTCTTTCGATGCTGTTTCAATAACGTGATTACTCTGAGCAGGAGAACATAAATCAGGAGCTGACATCTCACCGCAAATCCACAGTGCTTGTAGCCACATAAATCTGATCCATTCTTATTGTTCACGTTACGTTTTGACGTGTGTGTATAATTGGATGTTTATTTCACGAGGCCTCGGAACTTTGAGTTCTCTCCCATCGCCAATGCTCACGCACATGTGTGTGCATGCGACCATGTACATATACACGCACATGCTTTGAATTTCCTGGGCCTGGAGACTTGTTTAGTACCGTTCCACAATTGATGGTTAACTCAGTTCTCTGGAATAGGCTGAATAGATTAGAGGGTCTTTTCCCGTTCCTTATTGCACATCTTGTTCTGTGACCCCTCAAAAGAAAAAGTTCTGAATCATCCCTGTTCTCTCTGCAGCTCCTTCAGTCCCATTGGACCCCATATCTGTGTCCAACTCTTCTTCCCAGATCATTCTAAAGTGGAAGCCTCCAACAGATCGCAATGGGAATATCACCCACTACCTGGTGTTCTGGCAACAGCAGCCAGAGGACAGTGAACTGTATGAGTTTGATTACTGCCAGAAGGGTAAGTTGCAAATTGGGTGTAAGCTGGTAATAGACGTTGGGTGAGCATACCCAGTTGAACTAAAGGTGTAAATTATGAATCTATCTGCCTCTGCCTTAAAAGTACTCAATGACTCTACCTCCACTGCTTTTTGGTGTGTTCTACAGCCTCACAACTCTCCAGGAGGAAAAGCAGTATTCATTGCTGTTTAGATCAGCTGCCCCTTGTTTTTAAACTGTTCCCTACTTTGATGATCTCACACATGGGGAAACATAATTAGTAGCCATCGGTTTGTCCATATGGGGTCTTAACCATTTTAGTGTCAGCCCTCCCATCTGGCTGCATGAACTGCTACAATGTGTAGTGACATTTAGACCACTCCAAATGGATGTGTGGTTCCTGAAATTAATAAAATAGAATGGAATCCCTATAGTGTGGAAGCAGGCAATTCAGCCCATCGAGTCCACACTGACCCTCTGCAGACCATCTGACCCAGCCTCACCCCTCCTACCGTATCCCTGTAACCCTGCATTCCCCGTGGTTAACCTACCTAGCCTGCACATCTCTGGAGACTATAGGGCAATTTAGCATGGCTAGTTCACCTAACCTGCACATCTTTGGACTGTGGGAGGAAACCGGAGCACCCGGAGGAAACCCACACTGACCCAGGGAGAATGTGCAAACTCCACACAGACAGTTGCACGAGGGTGGAATCGAACCTGGGTCCCTGGCGCTGTGAGGCAGCAGTGCTAACCACTGAGCCACCGAGCCACCCCTTTATGTCATTTATGATCCCCTGCCTATTGCCTTCGGAGGTGTTGCAGTTTTTGCAAATTTGTTCAAGGGAAGTGGTCTCTGGTCATGCTGGCATTTATTGCCCATCCCATTGTAGGCAGTTAAGAGTCAGCCTCATGGTTATGATTCTGGAGTCACATGTAAACCAGACAGGTAAGGATGGCCGTTTGGGATTGGCAACAAATACTCGCCTTACCAGTGATGTGCACATCCCAAGAAGTAACTTTTTTTTAAAATAAAACTACATGCATAAATGAAACTAAAAAGAGATGAACTTTTCATTCATTCATCACACTGAGTTTTATGTCTGATTGAAAAATCTAGAAGTGCGTTTTCTTACAAAGTGACAGCAACTACACTTCTGGTTGTAAAATATTTAAGGTCATCAGGCTGTGAAAGGTACTGTACAAATGGAAATAAACAGCATCTTTTTCTGGAGATGAGGAGAGGGACTAAGTGTCCAAATAGCTAGCATACACACAATTGGCCAATGGGCCAAAGGGCCTCCTTCCCCATGTGATTCTCTGAAGTGGCAATGCATGGAGAGGTAGTGACATAGTGGGCTAGGAATCCAGAGCCCCAGGCTAATGTTGTGTGGACATGGGCTTGAATCCCACCAAGGGATGTGGCAAAATTTCAATTCAACAGAACTACCTGGTTCACTAGAGGCCTTCAGGGAAGGAAACCTGCCATCCTTACGTGGCCTGGTTATAGTTACAGCTTGAGGTAGCCAGCCCAGTGAAGCAACAAGACTCTTTTCTTAATTCTTCTGCTTTCAGGCTCCCTTTAGAAAGGAGATTCGATGGAGATGTTAGAAATCAGGAGGGATCTGGACAGAGTAGATCAGGAGAAACTGAAGGGTGAAGAATCAAAGGCATCAGTTTAAGGTGTTTGCAAAAGGAGCAATGGTGGTATGAGAAAAAGCCCATTTTACTTGGCGAGTGTTTAGGATTTGGAATTCACTGCCTGAAGAGTAGTGGTGACAGATTCAATCGTGGTTTTCAAAAGAGAATTGGTTAATGATCTGAAAAGAACAGGTTTTTTAGGAGGAGAAGGCAAGGTGGTGGAGTGGGCTGAGCTGAGTTGCTTATGGGCCCAGTACAGATACAAGAGGCTGAATGGCCTCCTTCTGTACTGTAAGTCACTCTGTGATTCTCTGATTCTAGGTTTAAAGTTGCCATCACGAGCGTCTACAACACATGCTGATGCCGAGGACAACCAGCAGCGAAACCAGACCGATGCGAATCACATCCCTGGTGAATGCTGTGCGTGTCCAAAGACTGAATCGCAGCTTAAACGAGATGCAGAGGAGGCTGCCTTCCAGAAGACATTTGAAAACTACTTGCACAATGAGGTTTTTATGATCAGGTAATTGAAGGTAGAGAATCAGTTCTTTACACCTCAAACGGGACAGAACATCATTACCAGCATGTAACAAGTGGAATCGCGATAGCTGCTTACTGGAATCTATGCCCTACACTCATGCTACGTCACAGTTTTATACAAGGGAATATACTTGGCACTCCAAGTGATATCACTTGTTTTAAACTGTTACCCAAGACAATTTCCAACTTGCAATCTCCAGTTCATTTACGTGACAGACCTCTGATTTGTAAAACTGTCAAGTAATTGAATTGTTTCTGTGGGTGAAACCTCCCATGACTTAAAAAACATAAGAACTAGGAGCAGGAGTAGGCAATTCAGCTTCTCAAGCCTGCTCTGCTATTTAATACGATCTTGGCTGATCTCATGTTGGCCTTAACTCCTACCCACTCCTTCAACCTGTTACTGAGTAAAAATCTGTCTATCTCCTCCTTAAATTTATTGTATCCCAACATCCACCACACTCAGAGGTAGTGAATTCTGCAGATGGAAAGCGTGTTTTTGCGTAGGGAAATACATCCTGGGAACACCCCTGACTTTTTTTATTTATTTGTAACACTAACAGTTTATTTGTTTACTTGCTAATCCTCAGTTCCTTGAGGCTTAGTTCGATGTCACCATTGCAGGACATGTTGTGCTCTGCTCCTTGTTCAGAATTGGTTTGTTCCTGGTGTTACTCTGCCCTCTTGTGTCAGTAAGCCAATACTGCAGCAATTCCATTGCACAAGGTTTGGTTTCAACAAGCCTTTGCACACTTTTTTTTGCCATTGCCATTTCAAACTTCAGAAGCATTTTTACCGGTGAGCTGAGGGAACGTTAACAACCCAGTTACACAAGAAAATAATTGCTTTTCTGAGTTGTCTGTGCTAATTCCAAGTGTTGTTCCTGTACACACTCTACAATATGAGCGACAGAATAGTCAGATTAATTAACCAACCAGATTCCATACCACCCCCTTAATTTCTTTCCCCATCCTGAAGTGATAAGCATTTAGACTGGTTTGGACCATCCAAAATCCCGATTGATCCAATTGAGAGAGAGAGAGAGACCAGATCAAGAGTTTGGGTGGCTCAGAGTTCCCATGGCTGGAAGCCTACAACATACAGGGATTTTTCAAATGTGAGCTACCACAGAAGAATGTAGAACCTATACAGATACAAAACAAAAAAGTTAAAATAAATTACTGCTGACCATAAAACATGAAGCAGACATCATCATTCCAAAATGCATCATAAATGCATAAAGAGAAAAAAATACAAGAGAATTGCCCTCCTGTTTCGCTAAATATTTGCCTTCATTACAGTCATTACCCATGGAAGTAATGCACTGTGATTTAATGCTAAGGCATCCAGTTAAGTCTGTTTGTGTAAAGAGATGTAAGTGAGGATGTGTCAACCTGACACCGGAACACAGGGTCTTCGGAATCCTAATAGAGAGTTCAGGAGATTTCATGCAATTCAAAATCTTGAATTTTTTTTGTGTTTTCCATTCATCACCCAACTACTGCATTTCCCTCTGTTCAGAGGATTTGCTGGCCTGACGCATCGGCTGTTTGAAAGGGGTCAGGTGATACAAGCAGGGAAACAGTTTTTTTTTTAAGTGAAATCTACTAATAATTTAGTGAAACAACGTAAACCTAGTGACGGACGATGGCAAGCGTAGCGACAGAAGTGAGCCTAATCCACCATTCACTTAGATCGCAGCTGAGCTGTACTTCAGTTCCATTGATCCAACATTCACCAACTAATGTCCATGTCAGTCTTGAAAATTTCCACGAATTTACAGCATTTAAAAACACATTTTAAAGCCTATATAAAATTTTTCATTCTTGACAGACTCAACAACTAAAAGTTAATATTCGTACAATATGAGGAGGCAACAAGACAGCATAAGTAACGTTTTCCATAAACTCCATCTGAACATGAGGATTGTAGAGACTTTGGTAATGGTTCATAGACAGGCCTGCTGCCTGCTGGTGGACTCATCAGTCTCTGTAAATGGGCTGAAAAAAAAATATCTAAAATGTTGGGTTGTTCAGGGATTTTGGATATGTTAAGATGTATAAATGACAACACGTGTTTAGCACATTTTTCAATAGACTGCGCAATAACTCAGAGATTCACTTAACAAGATGGTTGCTAGGGATTTCTTGGTGTGACTTCTTTGCTTGCCTCCTGAAAGAATATCCTTTTATAGCATGTCACAGTTCATCTGACCATGACAAGTGATGATTAGAACCAGTTTGATTTGATGGAGTGAGACATCTGACAAACCATCCATTCACTTAGCGTGTGCTGCTGCAGGTCAGGTCTGGGGCAGTTGTGTACCTCAAAGGTCCTGGAAGCAGTGAAAATGCCAGTTTCTCAGTACACAGCAGTGTGTGCTGATACTTAAACAAGTAATTGTGGTTAATTTCCCTTACACTTTACTCTGAATGATGCTGTTTTTTTTTTGAAAACAAACTGAATGCAGCAAAATCAGACTTAATCATCCAGGAAACAGACCCCAATACAAAATTTTCAAATCAAAACTCATTTAAAGTGGATGTTTTACTTTTGCAGACCTACACCTCAAGAGAGTGGTACTAAGGACAGTAGGTAAGGGAGTGTCTAAATTCTGTGCTTCTGAAATCACGCTGGGTGGTGTGCAGTTGGCCGTATCCATAATTTGTAATAATTTTTAAAAGTTGGGGGAATCAAAAGAAATAAAAGAGAAAATTAAAATTGTTTTGACGCCCCTTTGTTTGAAAAACTTTTAATTCTGCTTTTGCTTCTCATTTTGTGAATAATCAGTGTTCTACACAAATATAACCAGAGAACTATTTATTTTGGTTATGGATATTTACACAACTAACTGCATTTTAAAAGAAACCTTTAGACTTCTGTTATATGAATGCCAGAATTCTAAGTACTTATAAGTGATAAGTAACTCAAATATGCCCCTAATATCTTAGAGCTTCTACTGGACACCTGTTGATTAGCACGCCCCCACTGTTTCCCCAAACACTTGGTTGACCTCCTGGAACACAGTTTTGTTGGTTCCTCTACCATAGCCATACTTCATCACTGAACCTGTTTGGTATGTGCATGCTAGCAATTTGGGTCACCTTGTTGGCAGCCTGATATGGATCTTTGCCCAATAATTCTCCCCTGCTCGCTTTTGGCTCAATCTGTCAGTGATTAGGAGGCAGAGCCCTGGCTGGTTCCCTTAAATCTATGGAGTGAAATAGTGTCTGAACTTCTAAATGCTCCCAAATGATCCCACCAACTTGAATGTTTCTAAACTTCCTATGTTCCATAGTTGATCTTTTAACCATTTGAAACAAATAGGAGGGTCAAGAGAAGGGCAGTAATTGGAAACTAGTCAACAGTAACTAATGCTGGATTTCCCTTATAAACTTATCTCCCCTTTTTAAGGCATTCTTTCTAATTCAGTCTTTTAAGGCAGTGTGGAATGACACACCTGGACCATTACTGACACCTCTCAGTTTGCCATGTTTTTGTCTGTGATTTTTAAGACTGCAGGTTAGGACCCAAAGAGAGTTCTTATATGGCGTTGGACTTGTTGCTCACAGCCCGTAAGCAGATTCTTTTTCTTTTTTGTTTGTTTATGCAAAATGAACTGGGCTAGCAAGGCAAGCATTTGTTCTCCAAACCTGACTTTGTTGGATAAGGTGGTGATGAGCTCCTTGCTTGAACTGCTGCAACCCTTGCTGTGTAGAGACATCTAAAGTGCTGTTAGAAAAGGAGTTCCAGGATTTTCATCAGTGACAGCGAAGAAATGGCCTATCAAGGTGGTGTGTGGCTTAGAGGGAAAGTTGTAGATTCCCACCTGTCTACTGCTCTTATCCTTCGCAATGTTAGAACTTGAGAGTTCAGAATTTGCTGTTGTAGGAGCTTTGACACGTTGCTGTAATGGACCGTGTATAGAGTACATGTTGCTGGGGGAAGTCACAGATGTGACAATCAAACAACATATATAGGTTTAAGTTTCCTTTTTCTTCTGAAGTGGGACTTTATTTGGGCTGACTGCAGTCAATTTGCCTTTGACCATGTTTGAGTTGATTTTGACTGCAGGTGCTTTGTTTTGACATCAGCTCTTGGCGAGTCACTTATTACATGGCTCAGTGGTTAACACTGCTGCCTCACAGTACCAGGGACCCGGGTTCGATTCCACCCTCGGGCGACTGTCTGTGTGGAGTTTGCACATTCTCTCCGTGTCTCCGTGGGTTTCCTCCGGGTGCTCCGGTTTCCTCCCACAGTCCAAAGATGTGCAGGTTAGGTGGATTGGCCATGCTAAATTGCCCATAGTGTTCTGGGATGTGTAGATTGGATGGGTCTGGGTAGGATGCTCTGAGGTTCAGTGTGGACGTGTTGGGCCGAAGGGCCTGTTTCCACACTGCAGTGATTCTATGATTCTACATTCTTTTATAATGCCTGGAATGTAATGCCATGTAATGGTAAATCTGTAGTTCTGCTGCTTAGGTAGAGCTGAGTTTAAGATGGCCTGGCCCTTTAAGGTGTAATTTAAATTCCTGTAAGTAGACCTAAATTGGTGAGAATTTAATAGTTTGGAATGATGTACTGAAGGACATTGTCACCACTTATGGTAAATCTGCCTCAACAAGAAATTTCAGGTTGGTGGCTATGAATTTGAAGGTGGAGGGTAAAGAAAAAAAATCACGTTGCATTTTGTCGAATTGTTGACCAGATTTGTTAGTCAACAACTATACATAATAAAGAAAAGAAAATAATTTTGATCAGGAAAATGGATAGGAACTGAACTTGGATCTTGGTAAACTTACTCACTGATCATTGGGTTGCGTGGGAGGCACGTTTGCAAACAATTAATTTAGAGATGAGCGCGAACATGAACATATTTTTTAATGAATATGGCAGCAAACACAGTGGAAGTTAAATAACTGTTTATATAGCCTAAGAGAAGCCTCTAGAGTGTGGTACATTTCAGTGAGGCTTGTCCTCTTAGAAGTGACTTGTCCCCAGTTAAAAGCAGCCCCTACTATCCTTGATAGGCACTATGGTGGAGGTTTGGGGGAGGAGTGTTCAGGTATCTTAATGTGTGTAGATAATTTTTTTACGGGGTAACAACAGTGAATTTGAAAACATTAATGGGCATAGAGCAAAATTTGGAATTGGAAAGTAGGCTTCAGGAATTTTTAAAACCACAGTATTAGCTATTAGATAGGACTAATTTGGGAGTAACTGAATCAACAGTCTTACCTAAAGAACATTAATAGAATCCTGATAAATTGGAAAAGGAGCTGCTACAACAAGGGACGAAGGAAATCAGTTGAGAAATTTAATTGGGCAATTAAGCTGCTTATGCATACCAAGTAGCCTGGATGGGTGCTGTGCTGTATTTCAATTAAATACGCTACTTTTGGAGGCTGTGAAAAGGTCAACAAGGCATTTTTAAAAATTGAGCTTAGAACAGTATGCATTTATTTTCAGTCTTGCGTGACCCAGAAGGGACGAAATTATCACTAATAGCGAACACCTCAAGTGCGGCAGAATTCATTATATTTTTTTATAGAAGAAGTGACAAATGTTGTCTGTTAGCTTGGAAATAAAAATCAAAAGAACGTATTAAAAGAACCTTAGCTGCAAAACCACATGCTAGTAGAAGCGACAGATTTAGCAATGTATTTATCTGGTATTTTAAAACAATTCCTTACATAAGGGCCAAACAGGAAAAAAGTGTGCCTCTGGAATGCTATATTGATGATTGTTTGCTCTGGGGCAATACCCCCTCGATAAAGGATGTTGCTGAAAGAGATTGAGGATTGATCTTCCTAGTATAAAAGAAATGTTAGAAAGAAAATTTCAAGATTAAATTGGCTTGGAGCAAGGAATCAGCTAACAGATTTCTTTACAAACAAAAAACTTCATTAAAATAAGTATTTGGTGTCCTTGAACAGAAGGACTTTGTGTTGTAATAATTATGTTTTTTAAACATTTATTGCCTGTCCTTAGTTGCTCTTGAGAAGGTGGTAGTGAGCTGCTACCTTGAACTTCTGCAGTCCATGTGCTGTAGGTAGATCACAGTGTCATTAGGGAGAGAGGTTCATGGTTGTGACCCATTGACGCTGAAGGAACTTGATATGTTTCCAAGTCAGGATGGTTGTGTTGTTTTGAGTTGTTTTGATGCAATGTGAGAATAAAGCAGTGTTCGTGCTATAATTTTTTGTACCTGAAGATGGAGTGGAACATAGAGTTTATTAAAGATTTTCTCATAATGTTACATATAATGTGTTATTGTTTATAATTTTCTTTTGTTCTTTGAAAGAGAGGAAGTTAGAGTGCAAATTACAGAGCTATTGGTAACAATCCTTCAATTTTTCTTCGATTCAGAAAACTGGAGGATTACGAGCACTTTAGTGGTGGGAATACTTATGGAAACATTTCTTTGGAATAGAATTAACAGTCACCTGGAAAAAAATAGATTGATTTGGGCAAGTCTTTGTGGGTTTGATAAAGGAAAATCATATCTGACGAGCTTGGGTGGAGGCTTTTGAAGAGGTAACAGAGAGGATTGATGAGAGGAAGACTGTTAATGCGGTGTACATGGACTTGCAAGAGGTGTTCAGTACAGTGCCACACAACAGACTTGTGAGGAAAGTTACAGGTCATCAAATAAAAGGGACAAGTAGTAACATGGATACAAAATTGGTTCAGGGAGAGTAAACAGGAGCGTAATGGCTGATGGATTTTTTTTTGAGCTGGAAGGTTTGTCGTGGAACCCTTGCTTTTCCTGAAATATGTAGATGATCTAAACCTTGGTGAGCAGGCAGGTGGCAGATGAAATTCAGCGCAGAGAGGTTTGAGATAATACACTTTGGTACAAAGAATATGGAGTGACAGTATAAAGTTCTATTAGACCTGCAGGAGCTGAGATTCATGGGCGTATATACCTAAGTTATTAAAAGAGAGCTTCTTCACCCAAGAAATTAGGAAGGTGTCAGATGATAAACTGAACTCAGTGAATGGAAAACCTTTTGTAAGACAGTCATAGAAAGGCAGGTTACACTGATGACAGATAACCTCTTATGGCAATCCACAATGAAAGTCGAACAGAAATACAGACCTCGGATAGTTTGGGAACAGGGAGAATGAAGCACGGAAGTATTTCGGTTGCCATTTTAATCAGAAACTGCACTTTTTTTTTACTGAGTATTTGAACTTTTTTTTAATGTGGACTTATTTGCAGCAAAATAATATGATGTGTCTGGTAAGGAGATTTCATTCAAGGACAGTAGTTTGTCTGCAGACTGAAACCCTGGGAGATGCAAACCTGAGATGTTACAGCACTGTCTGTGCTTGGAGGGTGTAATTACAGTGTAACTGATTTATCTCTGTAGTTTCCAGTATTAATGCAAGCATAGGAATGTAGGCCAGCAAACTATTGATGCAAATGTGACAGTGAGAACGAAGACCTTGTATACAGGAGCAAATACAGCACATTTGACATGAAGGTAGTCATGCAAGGTATGATTTCCTGTATTACAACAATGACTGCCTTTCAACAAGTGTTTAATTGATTTTGGAAGATAGATGTAAGATGACTGATACTGTAACTAAGGACATGCTGTAAGATGTATTCCAGTATATCCAAGTATTCCAAGTGAGTTTTTCCAAAAGCTGATTAGTCACGGAAAGTGCAGCATATTCAGGTTTGAGTGTCCTCGTACCTTAACTTCTGGTGCAAACTCATGGAAAATTCTGATTGATAGTCAGGTCCCTGGATCATTTTGAATTCTTGCCAACAATCTCCCATCGCCGTGGAGTGCAGAGGTAGCGCTCCTGTCTGCGGCTGAAACTGAATTGACCTAACTCAGCACAATGGTGGTGAAAGCGAAGAATTTGTGGATCTTATGTGTAAGGTTGTAGTGAGCTGTTGAAACAAAAATGCTGAACCGAAAGACTTAGCACAACTGCAAAAGACTGTGGGTGTGGGAAGTCTTAAAATAAAAATGGAAAAATGGTAGAAATATTCAACAGTTCAGGCAGCATCAATGGAGAGAGAAACAGAATGTTCTGTCAGAGCTTTTGTCACAACCAGGGTAAGTCAGAGATGTAATAGATTTTTAACAAGTGGTAGGAAAGAGGATGTGAAGTCCGAGAAGAGGGCAGATCTGTCAAAGGGCGTAAGGCAGGAGAGGTTAACAGAGAAAAGGCTTCATTGTGCAAAGCCAAAGAAAGTGATAATGGGACAAGGAAACAAGGATCCGGAAAAGCTCTATAGTTGAACCGTCTGAAAGAAAAGTAAAGGGGTTGGGAGAGAAATAGAGGGAAAAATTAACCAACCGGCAAAATAACATGAAACACAATAGGGTCAGAGGTTGTGACATAGAATTGTGGAACTCAATGTTAAATCTAGACGGGTGAAAATTTTTATTAAATGCTAATTTTTTTTTTGTCAAGATGCTTTTAATCAAGTCAAGTTGCTAATGATGTTGACCAGTATTGTACGTGTGACACCTTTGGTAAGCTTGATAAGTAGATATTCATCATCTCCATGGTATTGGAATAAACACAACCAGCATAGGCCATTGAGATCCCACATTGTTCTACAGGGACCATTAGTGTTTAGACCCGCAATGCTAAGTGAAAGTGTTGCAGAAGGGAACAGTTTTCACTGTTGCTTGTCTAATTGATGTCAGTCAGTTTGATAAGTGTTGCTGTCAGCCCTATGATCTCCTATACCTGCATTTTGGAGCGGAAAATCAATAATGCTAAAATCTCTACCCCTGCCATAATGAAGGGAGTAATTTGGCCACAAGTGACATGATCTTTCCTTATTTGATCGATGTACCTGTGCTCATTTCAGTAAGGGTTCCTGTTTGGCAATTGGGAGAGAGCCTGGCAGATTTGTTTCTCAAGCTAGGTCACTGAAGGTATTCAAAGCATCAAAACTGTGTCAGATGAGACCCGTAAATCTAAACAATTGAGCAGTGTTCTTCCTGGTATCTGCTGCTCAGGACCACACCCTTGCTATTAGCTTGACCTTGAGCTGTTGGCAGAATCCCTACCTATCTGTCAAGGTTAAATGCTGCATTGTTTAATGCAACATGCCAGTAAGCTGTGAGGCAGTGACATGTCCTAGTGCGTACACACTTCTTCAGTTCAAATTTTGAATGAAGTCCAGATACTGAGAGAGTTCCTGTTTAAAGAGGACACTGTGGCAATGAAAGTAACTTTGCAATGCATTGTTGTGACCTGGTTTTATCTATACCCTATAGCACTTTAACATGAAAATTTTAAATTGTCCTAAAATATTCTAAATATCCAGACAACTGAGCTTTGGTTTTGAGTTCCTCGATTTGTATGTCTACTTTATTCCATTGGATTACCTGATTTTGACTCCTTCTGGCAGGTTAAGCTGTTGCAGGGTATAAAAGCTTTAACATGCTGCTTTTTTCCACTCATGCGCTTGCACCCTCGCTGTTGTGTTCTCACTTGCTGGAAGCCCCTCATTCACTTGGCACAGCTGCAGTAATGGCACTGCCTGGCATCCCGTAAAGGGCAAGTTAACTGCATTGAGAATGAACCAGAGTGCCTTGTTGGTTTGTGATAAATTCATTCAAGCCAAAATAGTCTAATCCTGTCTTTAATTTCAAACTGCGTGGGTTAGGAAGGCAGGTGAATGAAAAGCTACAACCAGGGATTCCCATGCTGTCTGCTTTCTGTGTGCAGTGGTTCCCTGATTTGCCGGGAGGAGACTGGGTCTTGTTTCGGTAACCTGAGTTACTGCACTGTTTCTGCTCTCTAGACTCAAGTATTTGGTCCCTGGGTGCCATTGGCAGTCAGAGTTTCCATGTCGCCCAGTGCTTACAGCTAGCAATAGCATAAAATCACTTTTATCACAGAATTAATAAGGTGCAGACAGAGGACTTTCAGTCCTACATGCCTGCATTAGCTACCCAATATTAGTCTCTTCCCTCCCAAAACTAAATTAAATGCTTTCCTCTCTTTTCCTGGGTGTGATAGTATAGTCAGTCCAGAGAATTCAAATTCTGATTCTACTGTGACATTCTGAGAAATTGAATGATGAAAATAAAGCAGTCCCTATTTATAGAAGTGACCATAAGGCTATTATAGAGAACCCAACCGGTTCACTAATGTTCCATAAGAAGGAACCTATTCTTAGCCAACCATGCCTATATATGATTTGAGTCTGTCACCAATATGTTGAACCCTAATTGCCCTTTGAAGTGGCCTATCATGCCAGTCTATTATATCATAGCCCAGGGAAGCTGGCAGTGAAGAATCAACGCCAGTCTTGCTAGTCACGCCCTCTTTCCAAGAATGAATTTTTAAAACTGTTCCTGCCATCATGTTGCCCTTCCTCTCTGCTGTTGTCACTATGCTCACTTTTAGCATTTAATGCAGTGTTTTAAAACTGTCTCCTTGTTGTCGTTGGTTTTAGACCCTCGCGAAAACGTAGGGAACTGAGAATCTTTTCAAACAGCAGTGCTCAGGAAGTGACCACGTCCAGCTCCATAGGCAATGTGTCTGCTACAAAATGGCCAGAGGAGGAATATCCAAAATTATTGGAGAAGGTGTGGATGAAAGAGTCCCTGGTAATCTCCAACTTGCGCCATTTCTCAGGATATCGAATTGAAATCCATGCATGCAACCATGAAGTGGAAACTGGAGGATGCAGTGTTGCAGCCTATGTCAGTGCAAGGACCATGCCTGAAGGTAGGGGACAGAGAAATGTTTGATTTCCTGCAATTTCTGTTCAGGTCACAGGAGTTCTCTGCAGTCACTGACATATGAGAAACGAAAACACAAATTGCTGGAAAAGCTCAGCAGGCCTGGCCGATCTGTGGAGAGAAAACAAAATTAATGCTTCAGGTCCAGTGACCCTTTGTCAGGTTAAGATTTTACTTATATACATCTAAGGTGGTCAAACGGAGAAAAAGAGAGATGTCAGGAACGAGTGGGAAGTGACTATAAGTGCATTATAACTGTTGACACAGCAGCATTGCACAGGGAATGTTGAAATAACATTTTAGAATGATCAGTGTCGTTACAAACCCTGACCAAAAACTCTTCCAAAACCTAATGTTTATGGATAATGTTTGTGTTATTCCTGCACAAAATCTAGGTTGGGCAGAGGGTTACAGTGTGTGAATAAAAGTGCACTATAATCATAAGTTAATGCCAAAACACCCATTTGTGTCGTGAGCTGTTGAAATTTACAGGATTTGTCTCGTACAGTGAGGGCAGACCCTTGGCATGTCTACAATGTTAGCAATATGGAATGTTGTAAAGTATTGAATTTAGTTGAACATCTTAGTTTCATTTTTATCATTAATACTGATTTTAAATTTTTTTAAAAACCGAAAGAACTGCAGAAACAAAAACAGAAATTGCTGAATAAGTTCAGGCAGCATCTGTAGAGAGAAATCAGAGTTAATGTTTTGGGTCCAGTGACCATTCCTCAGAACAAGGAGTTCAGCCCCTTAGTGATTGGGTTGTTTTACACAAGTCAGATTGGCCATCTGAGGAGTGAACAAATGAACTTGTATTTATGGAAAATCACTCACATTCTTACAGCCAAACAAGAGGGTTCCCATCCAAGATGGAGGTGAGGAGAAATTTCTTCTCTCTGAAGGTTTTTAGTGTTTGGAATTCTCTTCCCCACTGAGCAGGGTAGGTCATTGAATAAATTCAGGACTGAGCTGAGCCAGTTTTGGACTGAAAAGACAGTTGAGGCCTATGAGGAGGAAAGTAGGGTTAAGTTTGCAATCAGATCAACCATGATCTTATTGAATATTAGAGCAGACGTCAAGGGCTGAATAGTCTACATTTATTTCTTGGATGTATGAATACATTTGAAGTGCTAACAAATGAGAGCCATTTTGCCCAGTAAACACAAACAACATTGACATAAATTACCTGTGTTTAGTGATGTCGGTTGAGATTGGCCTGACCACTTGGATGGTCTTATTTGCTTCTTTTCTAATTGTGTCATGGGACCTTTTCCACCTGAATGGGCACCTCTGGCAGTGCAGCACTTCCTCAGTACTGCACTGGGAGTGCTGCCCTAAATTATGCAGTCAGATCTCCAGAGTTGGAGTTGGACTTGAACTCGTGGCTTTCTGACTTCAAGTGTTACCCTATGGACCACCTGACAGCTGTAGGAGAGAGACAGGCTTTCAATTCATCTGGCAGTGTTTGAATGAGGTCTCAAATACAGTAGGCTGTTCTGTTAACCGCTGTTCCTCATGTTTCACTGGTGCTGCTGAGTCTTTTAAAGTGTAAATCTGAGTGAAGTTGTTCTGGTGATAAAACACAGCCAAAAGCTAGCTGCAGTGTATTGAGATGAGAGTTTATGGTTTTGTTATCCATGCAGCAGGTCCGCAGTTACGTAGTCTTGGAAATGTTTTGAACCATACTCTTGGAACCATCCTTCCAAGTACCTGACACAGAGTATGCCCTTGTGAGCAGTGCCATCTGCTGCTGTGAGATGTGATGTGCACTGTGCAAACACATTCCCTAAAGAAGATGCTTAAAGCTTATTTAGCAGTTGCAATCGTATTCCCACCTGTTCTTCATTAAATGCTTTATTTTAAGAACCATATGGACGTACAGTTTCTCATCTCGGTAGGTCTGCTTTTAAAATGAAACCAAGAACTGCGGATGCTGGAAGTTTAAACAAAACAGAAATTGCTGGAGAAAGTCAGCAGGTCAGGCAGCATCTCTAGAGAGAAAACAGAATTAGTGTTTCAAGCCCAGTGACCTTTCTGAAGAAGGGTCACTGGACTCAAAACGTTAGCTCTGTTTTCTCTCTACAGGTACTGCCAGACTGCTAAGTTTGTCCAGTAATTTCTGTTTAATATTTCTGCTTTTACTCCTTTTGGGTTCAAGTTACATTGCAAAACTTGGTCGCGCAACAAGCTCCAGTGCAGTACTGATAGAGTGCTGTGCTATCAGATCTTCAGTCTTTGGGACGAGGCAGTAAACTGAGAGACTGGTGGATGGATGTTAAAGGTCCCAAGGCATAATTCTGAAGAAGAACCATAAAGTTATGACAAAAATGTCTTTGATGATAAGATGTGTAGTTTGAGGTTTGTTTAGATTTAATGCCTGTGAGACAGAAGGGTCCTCAACCAATATTTATCCCTCCAACATTATACAAACTGATTATCTGATCATTATCACAATGCTGTTTGTGGGATCTTGTTGTGCACAAATTGACTGTCATAATTCTGACGTTACAATAGTAGCTACACCCTAAAGAAAGTTTTGTTGACAGCAAGGTGCTTTGAGATGTCTATTGATTGCAGAAGGCCCCATGTAAATGGAAGTCATTCTTTCTTCTTTCCTATATTGCACAAGCTTTTAAAGCTCAAGGTTTTCACTATTAAGTGGGTTAGCTAGTCATCTCTCCAATGTGTGGTGCCCTGAGCTGTGCAACCTACTCACTTATCTCAGTCATCAAAAATCTGAATTTGCACCGTCGCCTCATTGACATATGTTATTGGGATTGATTGGTTGATTTGAGTTATTTCATTTTACAGCAAATGCTGACGACATTGTGGGTCCAGTCACATATGAGGTAATCAATAAAGTGGTTCATATCAAATGGGAGGAGCCAAAGAATCCGAATGGTCTCATTGTGTTGTATGAAGTCCTTTACAAGCGTCTTGTAGACTCTGAGGTGAGTGAGAAGCATTTTGAGCATGATTATTGTGTAATGACAAGTAAGGTACCAGAACCAGCCAAATAAATGCTATGGTTACAAGCGCAGACTGGGAGCTGGGTAATTCACTTTCTGACTCCTATCAGCTTGACCAACCTATGTGAAACGTAAGTCAGAAATGTGATAGAATGCTGTTCACTGACAACAGCACTCAAGAAGCTCACCATCATCCAGGGCAATCCACCCCTTTTGACTGTCAGCCCCTTGGGCATTCATTCCCTCCGTTACCAATGCGCTGTGGCAAGAAATGTGTATTATCTATAGAAAGCACTGTAGCAATTCCCCAAATAAAATTTGACAGCACCTTCCAAATCCTCTATTGGATGGAAAGGCAAGGGGAATAGGCATATCAGGACACCACCATCTGTAAGACTCTGAGGTCATACCTGAAACGTTACGGACAAATGTTTTCGTATGGAATTTCCTTTTTCAATCCTTGCGTGGACAATTTCAGTGTTAAATATTGATATCACATTGCGTATAAAAATTGCAACAAAAGAAGCCTGAACAAGAATTGCATGCTTTTTATAATGTATAGATTATAAGAAGTAAGACTTCCTGCTTTCTGAACTAGGTGGTGCTGTTGTACGTTTTTACTTTGCCATTACATGCAGATGACATGATGGTTTTGATACTGGAACAGCTTTAATTAACCTGTGCCGATGCTGTGGCTTTAAGAGGTGTGTTTTGTCCTGGTTTCTTTTAGAGAGAGAGAAATTGGGGGACAGGTGGCAAGCAGGCTATGAGAAGAGAAACAGCTTGTGAAGCCTTGGTTTTTTTTTCAAAAGTTGGAACAATAGAAGCAGCCTGAGTAAGTGTGGTGAAGCTCTCTCAGATACAGGATTTTAGTCAGCTTTTGCCAGTTGCGTTGGTCCCAGAAAGCTTGTAGGGAACATAAAGACTGACACTAAGAGTTTCTGTAAGTACATGAAGAGAAGGAGATTAGTGAAAACAAAGGTAGGTTCCCTACAGACAGAAACAGCAGAATGTGTAATAGGGGACAAAGAAATGGCTGAGCAACTGAATACATACCTTGGTTTTGTTTTCACAAAAGAGGACACAAATCAGATATCAGGAATGTTGGAGAATGCAAGATTTAATGAGAGGGAAGAATTGAGGGGGATCAATATTAGTTGAGAAATGGTGCTAGGAAAGTTGATAGGATTGAAGGTGGATAAATCCCCCGCGCCTGATAATCGACATCCCAGAGTACTTAAGGAAGTGAGTCTAGAAATAATGGATGCATTGGTGATCATCTTCGAGGATTCTATAGACTCTAAAACATTCCCTGCAGATTAGAAGGTAGCTAATGCCACTCCAATATTCAAAAGGCAAGTAGAAAGAAAACAGGGAATTTTAGAGCAGCAAGCCTAACATCGGTGGTAGGGAGAATTCTTGAACTCATTATCAAGGACTTTATAGTGGACATTTTTAGAAAGCAGTGGCAGGATTAGACAGCGTCAGCATGAATTTATGAAGGGGAAATCATGCTTGACAGATCTGTTGAAATTCTATGAAGATGTAACTAGCAGTGTGGATGAGGGGGAGCCAGTCGATGTGGTATATTTGAACTTTCAGAAAGTATTTGACAAAGTCCCGCATGAGATATTATTGTGCAAGATTAAAATGCATGGGATTAGGGGAAGTGTATTGAGATGGAGAGAAGACTGGTAGGCAGAGAGGAAACAAAGAGTAGGAATTAATGGGTCGTTTTCAAATTGGCAGGCTAGTTTCAAACTAGTGGGGTGCCACAGGGATCGGTGTTGGGACCCCAGCTATTCACAATATGTATGAATAATTTGGATGAGGGAACAAAATGTAACATCTCCAAGTTTGCAGATGATACCAAGTCGGGTGGGAGGCTGAACTGTGACGAAGATGCAGAGATCCTTCAGCATGATCTCAACAGGTTGGGTGAGTGGGCAAATCAATGGCAGATACAGTATAATTTGGATAAACGTGAGGTTATTTACTTTGGAAGCAAAAACAAGAAGCAGATTACTGCCTGAATGACTGTAAACTGGGAGAGGGGAGTGTGCAGCGGTACCTGGGTGTCCTTGTGCACCAGTCACTGAAGGTAAGCATGTAGCTGCAGCAGGTGGTAAAGAAGGTAAATGGTATGTTGGCCTTCATTGTGAGAGGTTTCGAGTACAGGAGCAGGGATGTGATGTTGCAGTTATACAGGGCCTTGGGGAGACCACACCTGGAATATTGTGTGCAGTTTTGGCCTCCTTTTCTGAGGAAGGATGCTGTTTTTCTCGAGGGAGTGCAGCGAAGGTTTACCAGGCTGATCCCGGGGATGGCGGGTCTGACGTATGAGGAAAGATTGACCAAGTTAGGATTGATTTTGCTGGAATTCAGACGAATGTGGGGTGGGGTGGATCTCGTAGAGACTTATAAAATTCTAACAGGACTGGGCAGGGTAGATGCAGGGAGGATGTTCCCAATGGTGGGTGTGCCCAGAATCTGGGGTCACAGTGTAAGGAGTTGGGGTAAACCATTTAGGACAGAGATGAGGAGACATTTCTTCACCCAAAGAGTGGTGAGCCTGTGGAATTGATTTCCACAGGAAGTAGTTGATGCCAAAACATTGAATGTATTCAAGAGATGGCTAGATATAGCACTTGGGGCGAATGGGATCAAAGGTTATGGGGAGAAAGCAGGATTAGGCAATTGAGTTGGACGATCAGCCATGATCATGATGAATGGTGGACAGGCTTGAAGGGCCGAATGGCCTCCTCCTGCCCCTATCTTCTATGTTTCTACGCTGGACGGCAGAGAATCTCGCTACATTCACTCTCTCTCTACCCTCCTCCCTCTCTCTACCCCCCCTTT